CTGACCCTTATTATCTATTCATCACTCACTTTAATTTCCTTCTTAACTTTCTCCATTGTCAAAATCCATCTTGTTTATTTATGCATTTGCTTATTAACTGTCTGTCTTAACCCACTAGAGTGTAAGAACTGAGATCATGCCTGCATTTTTCTTTACTGTATCCCCACTGTCTTTAACAGTGCTTGGCATGATAAATATTTGTTGGCCAAATGAATGGATTTCTTGAATGAGTTGTTCTGAGCATTGACTGTGTGCCAGGCTCTGTGCTTTGGACATGGAGGTCTGTGCCCTCCAGCATCTCGGGGTGGGGGGGCAGAGGTGTCATATGAAAACCTTGGAAAGATCTAGAAAGGGAAGGAGGGATGATTGCGAAGATCTCACTCCTGTTTCTGTATTTGTATGTGGGGGCTGGAATCATCCCTTTTGGACCTGCCTCTCCCTTGCAGAGAAAGCTTACTTCTGCCAGGACCGCTTCTACTGGCGTGTGAGTTCCCGGAATGAGGTGAACCAGGTGGACTATGTGGGCTACGTGACCTTTGACCTTCTGCAGTGCCCCGAGGACTAGGGCTCCCCATCCTGCTTCAGCACTGCAGTGTGGGTCCCCACGGGGATCAGTCTGCTTGGTACAAACTGGTGGGTCTGTTCTGGAGGACAAGGAGGAGTGGAGGTGGGCTGGGCCCTCTCTTCCCACCTTCCTATTTTGTTGGAATGTTTTTTAATAAACTTGGATTCTTTAACCTCGAGGAGCAGATTTATGTATGTCTGTACAATGCACGTCTGTATGTATGCAACCTACAGGGTGCGTACCATGTGCCAGCCGGTGTTCTAAGCACTTCATACATATTAACATTAATCCTTCCTATTAGAAAGGCAAAATGTAATTAGTCCTATTTTATAGCCAAGGAAATGGCCAGCCTATTATTTATTCATCAAACATTTATTGAGCCTTTTCGTGGAAGCCGGCTGTGTGCTGGGTACTGGGGATAGAGAAATGAATTGGACTATGTTTCTGTCCTCAAAGACCTCTCAGTGGTCCTCAAACTTTAGGATGCATAAGAGAGCCCTCAAAACTTACTTAAGGGGGAGGGTATACCTCAGTGGTAGAGTGTGTGCTTAGCATGCAAGAGGTCCTCCTGGGTTCAACCCCCAGTACCTCCGTTAAATTAAAAAACTAATTACTTCCCCCACCAAAATAAATAAATAAATAAAAAGAAATAAAAAGAAAAAAGAAAAGGAAAAAACTTTGCTTAAAATGCAGACTCCAGGCTTTATCCCCAGACAGTTGAGCTTACTTACAAGGGTGATGATTCTGTGGCTGCTGGGGAAGGGGTCACACTGGGACAGTGTGCAGTGTGTGACACTTTATTCTAGAATAGTGGTGTGTATGTGATTCTGCATGTTGTGGTTGAAGTCAGGAAACAGTTCCCAGCCACGATGACATGGCTGACATGACAGTGAACTTGAACTGAATCTGGAATGATGAGCAAGAGTTCCTTCCTGTGCAAGTAGGACAGTCTTCTTAGATGGTAATTTATCAAGAATCATTAAACCTAAAAATGTTCCTACTCTCTAACCCTCACCCACGTGTGCACAAAACAACACACAGAAGGATGTGGATTGCAGCACTGGTCATAGAGTGAGAAACTGGCAACAACCTAAGTGCACAGAAGTAAAGCAGTGGATAAATAAAACATGGATTTTATACATATGATAAGAACTACCCCTAGTACAGCACTGACTGCATGCCAGGCACTGCTGCATGTGTTTTACGTGTGTTAATGCAGCCTATCCTTAAAACATCCCTATGAGACAGGTACCACTCATACCTTAAAGGTACTATTACTTTTGCCATCACCTCCTCCCTCCCATTTTACAAATGAGGTAACTGCAGTACAGAATTCCACAGCTCACCTGAAATCTCAAAGTTGGTGAGTGGTGCCAGTGAGATTTGAATGTGAGCTCTTGGGGCAAATTCTGGGAGAACAGAAAAAGCAGAGGACATTTGGGGGCACTAGAAATGGCTTAGAACTCTACTGTGTGGTTTTAGCAAAGAGGATACTGGAACTGTTGAAGTAGGAATCGTGGTCTGGCTAAATGAGAGATGGTTCAAATGCCAGGCTGAGGAGTATGGATTTGACCCCCACAGCTTAGCTGAGGGACTTGACTGAAGGGTTGGTGGAGGTGAGTGGAGGTGATGGGCTTGGTCAGATTTGATAATTTCCCACCCAAGTGGGAGTTTAAGGAGGGGTTCAGAGAACTTCAGCCTAAGCTTCCTGTGGGTGGAGCCCTTCTCTCCTAACTCACCCATTTCTCGCTCAGGAATGACACACTGCCACGGGCATAGAAACGTTCTGTAATATGACTTGCTTAAAATCCCTCTGGACCCCTGTCTCTCTCTCGATTCTGTTCCATTTCTCTATTCCCCACCCCAGTCCACAGCAAAACTTCCCCAAAGTACGACTCTAGTCACTGTCTCCACTTCCTCAATTTCCACTCACTCCTCAGCCATTTCCAGCCTGGCTCCACCCCCACTCCTCCACTGAAATCACTGTCTTCAAAGCCATCTTCCATCTTCCTGTAGCTGGATGCAGTGGGTACTTCCCTGTGCTCATTCTGTATCATCTCTCGGCTTGTTTGACACAGTCGACAATGCCCTTCTTCCTGAGATTTTTCTTCACCTGGTCTCTGGTCACCCCCCACTCCTGGTTCTCCTCCCACTTCACTGGCTGGATCTCCCTTTTTCCAACCTCTGAATGATAGCTTGCCCTTGTGTTTGATCCTTGGACTTCTCTGGATACATTCAGTCCCTATGATCTTGTCTAGCCCCGTAGCTTTAAATAGCATCTGTCTGCTAAAGATTCTAAAATTTATATCCCCAGGCTTAACCTCTCCCCCGAGCTCCAGATTCAGATGTTCAACTGCCGACTAGGCATGATCCTTAGATGCCGAATGGGCATCTCAACATACCGGGTCCAGATGAACTCTTGGGCTCCACCTTCCCAACATGCTCCTGTCAGACTGTCACCACCTTAATAAAAGACAACATCATCTGTCCTCAGTCAAGCTTAAAACCTGATTGGTCCTAAAATATAGGGATCTTTTAAGCTCCTTATTCTAGCACAGGTTTTCTCAACTTCAGCCCTGCTGACATTTTGGTTCAGGTAAGTCTTTGTTGTGGGGAACTGTCCATACATTGAAGGATGTTTGAGGCTTCTTCAAAGAGGTAGTGGGATCCTAGACAGATGCTTGACCCATTCAGGGTCAGTCTCCCTCTCCTCACCCCAGGCCCTAACATGGGGGTTGGAGTGCAGGGAGGTGATGGTGAGTCTGTGACTCATGGCCAGGCAGTCTTGGTGCAGGACTAGATGCCAGTACCACCCTCCTCTCGTTGTGACAACCAAAAATGTCTCTGAACATTGCCAAATGTTCTCTGGTGGGCAACATTGCCCCAGTTGAGATCCATTACTCTAATAAAATAAATAATAACATTTAATAATAAAACAGATGCTGACCTGTCATAAGTGTACATTTCAATACATTTTCACAAACTGAACATGACTGTCTAACCAGCATCCAGATCAAGAAACAAAACATTATCAGCACCCTAAAATCCCCCTCATGCCCCCTTGTAGTCACTAACCCTTCACCCCAAGAGTTACCATCATGACTTCTCACAGCTCAAGATAGACTTTGACTATTACCTACTTTATTTAAATAGTATTTTACAATATGTACACTTCTGTGTCTGGCTTCTTTCAGTCAGTGCTATATTTGTGAGACTTCCATATTGTCTGTGAATTATAGATTGTTCATTCCCAGTACTGTATAGTATTCCACTGTATGAATGTACTACTACTTATTTGTCCATTGTACTGTCAATGGGTACTTGGGTAGTTTCTGATTTGAGGCTGTTACAAATAATGCTGTTATGAACACTCTTGTAAATGTCTTCGGGTGAACATGGGCAGCGATTTGGGGCATAGACCTTGGAGTGGTATTGCTGGGTAGATGCGTATGTATAAGTTCAGCATTAGCAGATGTGACCAAACAATTTTCCAAAGCGGTTTTGCCATCTATACTCCCACCAGCAGTGCATGAGAGTTTCCAGAAGTCCTCCTTGATGCCTCTCTCCATCACATGCAACATCCAATCCAGAAGCAGATCCTGTAGGTTCTACTTCCAAAATATATCTGGAACTGGATGCCTGGCACCACCCTAGTCCAGCTATGATCACCTCTTACCTGGGGTCTGCAGGAGCCTCCTAACAGAGTCCCAGCTTCCACTCCTGCCCTTAGTAGAGTTTTCACCCAGCAGCCAGAGTGATCCTGTTAGTATGCAAGTCAGATTACATCACTCCCCTACTCTAAAACTTCCCATGGTTTCCCTTATAGATTAGAAAAAAATCCAGTCTCCTCCCTGAAGCCTTCAAGAGACCATATGATCTGCCTTCCTCTCCTCTTTCTTTCCCTCTCCATCACTATCCTCTCCACTCACTCTATTCGAGACACACTGGCCTTCTTGCTGCTCCCTGAATAGTCTAGGTGTCTTTTCACCCCAGGGTCTTTGCACTTGCTATTTTCTCTGCAAGAGCACTCTTCCCCTAGATCTTTTGTTTAGCTGGCTCCTTCTCAACAGTGAGGACTCAGTTCAAACATCAAATCTTCTGAGAGGTCTTCTTAGACCATCCCCTAAAGTAGTCCTTCCCCTTAGTCATTATCCCTTGGCCCTACTTTTCCTTCTTAACATATACCACAATCTTAAATTGTATCATCTATGCGTTTGCCCACTTTCTCCTCTCACTCATTAGAATTTAAGCCACACGAGGTCAGGAAGCCAGTCGCTCCCATCCAATGCTGTACCTCCGCAGGGCCTAGCACCCGAAACACAGGCGCGCTATCAAGATGTGTTGAATGAACGAGTGAATGAAACCCTGGTGTTTAGGAGGGCCCGAGCTCCAGGAGCCACACACTGGGGACCCTGGTGCAAAGACAGCTCTCCGCAGTGGGTGGGATCCTCAAGCGCTTCCAGTGGAATTGAGAACCCGGGGCCTCAAAGCGAAGCGGCTGGATACAGACGCTCAGCACAGCGGGCACTAGGACCCTGCGCGGCGCCGTGGCCGGCGGGGGGCGGCCGGCGGAGACTGGGAATCCGCTCTTTCTGCCTCCTAGATCCCGGCTGCGGCCACTTGTGCGATCCGGGTTCCTGCCGCGGCCGCCTGGCCCCTTTCGGCACCATGAGCCGCAGGTTCACTGTCACTTCGCTGCCCACCGCGGGGCCTGCCGGGACCTCTGACCCGGAGTCCCACCGGCTTTCAGCAGCGGATCTCCGCCGCCTCTCAGGGGAAGACGCCAAAGGTAGAGGCCGCAGGGGGCGGGGCCTGCCTAAACGGGGCGGGGCGACACAAGGGGCGGGGCCATGGTGGGCAGGTCTTCTTTTGGGAGGGGAGGGGCCAGGAATGATGAGAGAGGGTCCAAGCCCAGGGCCAGAGAAGAGAGAAAAGCGGGGAACTAGGGAAATGGGGGAAGGCTGAAGAGGAAATGTTGAAAAGAGGGGCCAGGTTCGAGGTGGGCGGGGACACAGGGAAGAGGGTGGGGCTAGAGGCAAAGGGGCGGATCTTATGATGAAGAAGTTAGGGCCAAGGGGGCTGGGCCGGAGCTCAGTAATGGGGCGAGGTTATCTAGGGTAAGGGGCTGGACCAGAGGGGAGAAGGTGGAACCAGGGAAAGGGGAGGGCTATGTGATTAAGGGGTAGGTCTGGAGCCAATGGGAAGAGGGAGGATTAGCTCGGTTTTGGGGCAGAAAGGGCGGGACCAGCGAAGGGGTAGGGCAGTAGCATAGGGGTGGAGTTGAGGGCGTGAGGAAAAATGAGTTCGGGTCGCTGGGTCTCCTGGTCTCTGGTGCCGGGCAGATCCTCCAATCCTCAGCCACCCAGGAGGTGTCGCGGACAGCGCCTGGGAATCCCGTTAAGGAGATAGGAGAAAGAGAAGTTTCCACCCCGGGCAGCTAGATCCTGGGAGGATCCCGTGGGGACTCCAGTCCCGACCCTGGGGACTCACTTAGCTCCCTCTGCTTCAGCTCCACAAGGAGTGCGTGGAGCCAGCTCAGGCAGGATTGGGGGAGGGTATCTTTCTTTAGGGCCCAGTGCAGTGGTCTTATAATGGAAGTTACACGCAGGGTACATAAGAGAGAGGACGGAAAGAGTCCTACTAGCCTTCGGTGAAGAATTAGCATCCTGTATGCACACAGTCCTCTCCGCAGGGGGCACTTGTCAGGGGTCCCTTGCCTGGCTCTGTGCCCGCCAGGTCTGGAAGAAGCCTGGAGAATCGGCTTGAAGTGGCCCCAGCGCGGGGAAGAGGAAGAGCCTCCCCGGGCCGCCAGGGGTCACTGCTGAGCCGCAGGTGAACTCGCTCTGACCCCAGCAAAACTACACCAAAACCCCTTTAGCGGGTTATTTGTTGAATCCCCTCATTGGATAGATTACCAAACTGAGGCCGAGATTTCCGCAGAGCTCCAGTCCCGTGAACAAACCGCTTCCTGGATGTGGTCACTCGGAATTTTGGGGCTCTTTTCTCTCTTAATCTTTCCCATAATCTGTCTGCCCCTTTTCTCATTTTCTGTAATGTCCTTATCATCCTTACAGATTTAAAAGTCAAAACTCTGGGAGCTATTCTCAACGACTTCTTTTCTCACCTCACCAGATCTGATTGGTCCTCCTGTCTTGGTCACGACACTTTTCAAACTTACCCTGAATCTTGTCACATCTCTCCTCCTGTCACCATCACCCTGGTCCAATCCTCCATCAGCTCTCACATGGCCAAGAACACAGCCTCCTCACTGATCAGCCTGCCTCCAATCTTGTCCTAACTGCTCTCCACACAAGCCCCCCTCCTCCATCGCTTGTAGGATAAACACCAAACCTTTCATTCAGCCTGTCATTCAAACTCCCCCCTCATCTGCTCCTGTATACCTGTATGTTGTTCTCCCCACCTCCATTAGCCAGGGAAACTCCTACTCACTCTAAGTTATAGCTCATTTAACCTCTTCTGAAAACCTTTTTCACTCTCCGTCACTTCCAGGCAGAGACAGACATTCCTCTCCTGCCCACTGCACCATTATAGCACATGTCCCAATGGATGGAAGTTATTTACTTGTGTGTCTCCATCATCTCAAGGGCAGGGACCATATCTTTCTGTGTTCCAAATTCCAAGCCCACAGCCTTGCACTTAATAGGTGCTTACTGCCCTTCAGATGAGAAGGGGAGTGGCTATAGGTTCCTACTTCCCCTACTGCTGCCTTCTCACCTGCTATTGCCCATCCCCTTGCCTGTGAATAAGATGGCTCTCTCTTATCCCAAGGCAATTGCTCAATCTTCCCATTCCCATTTCCAAGATCCTGCATATTGAAGTAAAATACACCTCCCAGTATTGGGTGTGCAGGTGTGTGTGCAAACTGGATGTGAATCTGGAGTGCTGTGGGCATGTGGCAGAGGTGGTGTGGGTCTTTGCATGTCTTGAAGGAGGGGCATCCCATGCTAGCTCTGTTAACCCGTGGGGCAGTCAGTGAGTCAGTGCTTACGTATGTCACTGTATGTCAGTGTGTTGATTGGCACGTTGATGTGTGAATTTCCATGTCTATCTGTTGGGTGGATACCTGTGTGCATGAGTTTATTGAAGTTCCGTCTTGAGAGTAATTTGGGGAATTTTAACCTCTTAGGCCCTGAGACAGCCTCCAGCACATGGCCTCCCTAGGAGAACACAAAGTCTGCTGGTATCTTTCCCAGAGCTGTTCTTGTGTCAGTGCTCTGGCCCCAGGGAGATGCTTTCTCAAACTCTTGTCCTCATCCAGGCCCATGGGGAGAGATGACAGTATGTGGAAGGTGGAGGAAGGGTTGGGGGAGGTTTTGTAGGTTATTTGCATAGGAGCCTTGTGTTTCATTCTGGATCAAGGAAGTGGAGTTTGCCCCTGGAGGCCCTTCCTGCTGCCAGGGAATCAGCTGTAGGTGGAAATGCAACTTATGGGGGTGAAAGAAGCAAGTCAGTAGCTGATCCTTGAATCAACCACTAACCTTGGGCTGCAGCTCCCATGCCTCAATTGCCTCATCTGTACCATGGGAAGATCAGTGGTGACTTGGCTGGATAGAAGTGGACCTGGGACAAATTGTTACCAACTCTGAGCTACTGCCCCGTTATTTTCTACCACTCTCTGCTGTGCCTCAGCTTCTCATTAGGAAGACAGGGCACTAGGAAGGGTGTGGCCCTGGTTAAAACTAATAGGAGTTAGGATGTGTCCCCACGAAGTGAGAGGGGGCCAACTTATGCTAGGGGGATGGAGCAAGATCACAATGTAGCCCATCCATGCTCTAGTTCAGGCTCTGTGGTGTAGCCTTGGGCACACTGCTTCCCCTCTCTGGGCCTCAATTTCCCCATCTTGAGTATAAAGAAGTTATTGGACAGGAAGCTATCTGAGGGTCCTTCTAAACATAAAAATGCTAAGATTCTTGGATGATCTAGAAGAGTCATGTTCTCTACCTCCCCCATACCCAAACCTCATGTTTCAGTCTATCTGTAAATTGGGAAGAACAACACTGAATTATTGGTATAAATATCTGATCTGGAGATCTCCAGCCTATCCAAGGAGTTTCCCAGTCACCCACTCCTCAAGCCAGGACTCAGAACCTCACTGCCCAGTACCTCAGCCCAAGGTGAGCCCTGGGAATCTCCATGGCAACAAACTGGTTAGGAACGGGACTGTAGTTGCCATGGTGATGGGCTGCTCCCTCTCTCTCTCTCTCTCTCCCTCCCTCCCTCTCATCCCCCTTATCTCCCCTCCCCTCTTCTCAATGAACCAGAGCGATCTGATCTTCGGGCACCAGCTCTCCAGGTCGGGTGGGGATGGGGGTGGGTACGAGTGAGGAAGGGGGTCTAGACTGAGAAAGAGGGAAGATGGGTTGAATCAGTGGAGGAAGTGGGGGGGCGTGGTTGGGGGTGGCGATTGCCATGGTGACAGGGCTGCAGCCTGTTAATTAAGCCCCCGGTTACCACGGAGACGATGGTGGTTGACGTGCTCTGCAGCGAGCCTTGTGTGTGTGGGGTGTGCTGTGTGCCGGACTCATCAATTCACTGCAAGTGTTTTGGGTCTGGAGGACAGGGCCTGCGTGTCGGGGAGAGAAGAGTGAAGAGAGTTCATGGCCTTGGCTCTGTGAGCCTGGAGCTTGGGTGGGTCTGTTAGGCTGTAGAGTTAATGATATAGAGACAAGGGTGGATAGGGATTAATCCATAAGGAGGAGCACTCTGCCTGCCTTTCATGGAAAAAGAACCCAGTCAGGTGGCTCCAGTTTCTTCCAAACAGCTCTTTTTCCTGACTCAGTGGATGGGGCCTGGACTGGAGGTCAGGGAGCTGGATTCTAGTCCCTAGTTAGCCACAAGTTCACCCCATGAAGAAAATCTGTACCTTTCCAGACTTTCTAGACTCTAATTTCCCCATAGATGAGGACTGGTAAAAAGAATTTATAAAGTTTCTTCCAGTTTCCAAATCCTGATACTTATGAGGCAGTTTCCCTGACCTTCTTTCTCTCTGAGAAGCATAAAGTGGGAGGGGGATGAATTTTAGAGACTCATAGTTTAGAAATAAGACCCTGCTCAACTCTGCATCTCATCCTTAATGAGAGGATCCCCCTGGCCTGAGATCTTCCTAGGGCTCCGGGTGGAGATGGGGTGCTGAGATGGCAGCCATGTTCCTGGGGCTCGGAGTTGAGTGTCACCTTACTGGCCAAGGCCTGGCTGGCAGTATAGGAGGTGCCTGCAATGTATTTTCTGAAAGCCTCACTGCATAGGGTTGGCCTGAGGCCAGAATAGGGATCAGTCTTCTTGAGAGGTGGGGGCTGTGAATCAAAGGACTGGGGTCTCCCCTTGGGGCTGTCTCTTTACTTGGCCTTGCCTCCTCACGAAGAGCTCTGTGGCTTTAGTCTGAGATAAATGGAGCAAGCATGAAGAGTTTTAAGAGTGGGAAAAAGGCCTATGGATTATGCAGCCCAACCCTTTCATTTTACAGATGGAGATACTCAAGCCCTGAGAGAGGAAGTCAGCTTTGCCCAAAGATACACAGAGTCTGGGGGCAGAGGACAGGATAGCACCACAATTTCCTGAATCACAGATGCTTCATGAGATTGGGGGGTCTGTCAGGGTGGACAGACGGGCTACCTGGGAGAAGAGGAATGACTCCTGCCTTCACCTGTACTCCCTTGGGATTTAGGTTTTCTCTGTGGGTGGGCTCAGTTCCTGAGTGGCCAGGGCTCTGGACCACAAATGAAAGGAAATACCCCCAGGGGAATATCCCATACCAGGGATTGCTGGAAA